TAGCTGCATCTTCAGCAAACAACAATATAACTATTATGGCCTCTACATTACTTACTGGGTTCTTGTTAGGGAGCTTAGCTAAAGTTACGGTGCTCGTGATCTATCGTAAGTAAAATGGCTTCCTTATTCTGGCATCTGCAACTAAAGTCCTTCACAAAGAGCCCAGCTTGGGGAGTTAAGGTGGAGGCTTAAGGTTTAGGCCTTCCTAGACAGCAGGTTCTGACTCCTTGCTTGGCAATTACGAATGACCGTCTGCTTGGGCCTCAAGAAGAAACTGTGCACCGGGGGAAAGCCGTGTCCCCACAAAGCTGGTGGGCTCTGGAGACCAACGGCTGAATGTGTAGAATCTTTTGCCGTTTTTTCATTTTCGGAACTCCAGCAGTAAACCTATATCCTTCAGATCTAATCTCGTGTGCTAGGCTCAGGATGGGGAAGCCCTAATAGACTGTAGGGTCTAAGTCTAAGAGTCCTAAACCCGAAACCTTGGAAGCTCCAAAGTCTTACGTAGGCCAAAGCTTGAAATCCTGAGCCCGAGCTGAAGTGCCGATCGGACGCCAAAGCCTCGTGGGCAGAGCGGTCGCTGCGTGCCAAGGCGACCACGGCCACGAAGTGGGCAGACGGGGCGTCACGCTGGGCCTGGCCAGATCGCGGTCTTGTAGGGCATGGTTCAATATAATATGTTAACCACTCAACTCTGAAGGACTTTGTTTGTTTATGTGTATATATATATATATATGTGGTTAGCCAAAAATGGATGTTTGAGAATCTGGGTGCAGTAGCTCGGGATGATGAGGAGAACTTGGGTGCAGTGGCTCGGGATGATGAGGGGCTGCGCGAGCTGAAGTCCCATGCATGACCTTGTGCTCGGGAATCCGGGATATAGACTGAGGCGGTTCCCCGAATATACGGGCCGTAACAATGAGAACAGGGTTCTGGTATACGTAATACTTTTGAGCATTCCGACCCCTATGTTACAGCAACTGTCAGAAGTCACTAGCGTAGCTGAGCCTTTGCCAGCGCAGACTCTGGCATGTTTCCGGCAATTTCTACGAATGCCGACTTGTGGAAGGTGCAATGCTCTGATGCGCTCTAATATCGGTCTTGAACCGCCGCAGAATCATGGCTGCAAGAATCTTGTGACGTTGTCAGTGTGAAGAACCTCCAGACAGCATCAACAAATGAAGCAAACATTCATCCGTTGGGTGAAATTCCTATACAGAAACCCTTGCCACAAGGGCCTAGCTGCGCAGGTATATTAGGTCCCTGGCATTTCAGAATTAAGGGGTCCTAATACCGGAGAATAACCAGAATGCAGGAAACACACAGTTAGGAAACTTTAGGGAAATTAACTACTCTAGAAAACGTTGAACCCTGCAGCCCTACACCCCATGCTCCAGAAATCTCGTCAAGAGTTTGAACGTTCACTGAAGCCGCACGTGACTTAAGATGGAAGGATTGAGGTTGGCCTAAACCCGAAACCCTCAACCCTAAAGTTCTCAGGGTGCCTCCAAGAGCTCTTTTCGCTTGAGGAGCTGCTCAATTGCATGATCCACGCGCCTGGCTGCAGGGGACTGCCGTTAGGGTTTAGGGTTTAGGCTCACGGTTTAAGGCCTGAATAATTGGACTAGGGTTCTTTTAAGGGTTCCTGTGAAGGGGTTCTATAAAGGTTGCTGCAAGGGTTTAGCATAGTGACGTCAACATATAATCTTAAAGAGCTTTGAGGAAGAGGAATCCACTATGAAGCACCCACAAGCCTGAATATGCCAGTAGACTCAGTAGAAAACAGGCTTGAGGTAAGCCGTTCTTCCTTGGCCTCGAAAACCCTTCCACAAAAAGGCACACCTTGCGCGGCACTTCATTTCGAAGAACACCAGTGTGTCGCAGTGGCAGATGCGCTCGCCTTGGGATGAACATTATTTGAGCGAGGGCTGGACGATTCCGAGATCGAGATACTAGAGGGGTCGGCATCAGTAGTACATTGAGGTAGCTGTATTTAGCACAATGTCCTGATGGAGGGACCATGTACGCGCCTGCCACCATCTATTTGTTTCAGTCGAGCTTCTGCGCTTGAAGAATTCGAACAAGTCTGGCAGGAGTTTCGACGAAGGCACGCGGTGCCGCAGCTTCATGACCAGATCGCCTGTGTTTTGCAGCTTGGGTAAACCCCAACACCCTAAACCCTAAACCTTATGAACCCCTAAATTATAAACCCTAAACGCCTTTTTGGGCGGCCCTATGCAGCTCTCACGCAATAACTGCTAATGTACAGTCTGTGAGCAGATTGAAAAGGAGTCTTGCACGTTGGCAGCCTCACTAAGTTACTCTGAAAGTGGCGGTCTACAGCTAATCTGTGAGCTCGTGGATAAGAAAACGGGAAGGTAGGGCTTCGGGTGGGAGGTTGCCGGCAGGACATTAAATGCCAGTGCCAAAGTAGTTTGGCACACTGTTTCGTCCAGTGGACTCGCCTCCTAATAACTGGCCTGAGGCCTGCACTTACCGTTCCTCCTCTGTACTGAAAAGTATGTGTAAAGCAAAAGTTCCGTTCTATGCTAGTGGGATGGGATCGAAGAATGTGCCCGAAAAGCTTCAATTGTGCTTTGTGGACGTGGTGTGTGAGGGGGGGTTGCTCTGTGAGGGCGCGTGCCTCTTGGTTGGTGTAGGTGCGGGCTGTTGGCTGCAAAACTTGCGTGTAGTAGGTGCTTTTGAGGTGCAGGATTTTCACTGTGAGTGGAAAGCCTCCAATCTGTTGTAGTCGCCTGTGGTGAGAGCTGCTGATTCAAACCCGTATGTGACGAGCTGAATGAAAACCGCGTTGTAGATCCTGAGCTTCCACTTGAGTGTGGGAGCGCTGTTGCGCCAGAACTGGTGTACCCCAAACGCCTAAACCCGTAAACCCTAAACCCTGAAACCCAAGGTCTAGGAGTCGTTGTACAGCTCTGCTCCCATTGACGCTGTGCCCTTCAGCTGACAGCTATTGAACCGAGTCGAAACAAGCCTCAACACCGAAGACTTTGAAACCTCTGTTGCGGGTTTAGGGTCTAGGGGGTTTAGGGTGGTTTAGGGGGTTTAGGGGGTTTAGGGGGGTTTAGGGGGTTTAGGGGGGCTTCGGGGGTTTAGGGTTTAGGGCCTACTCCTTCCTCAAACAGAAAGCAACCGGTCCGAGTCACAGTCGTGATGGATGCCGACGCCCTTCGGGGCCACCTGATGCTGTGCTCGGAGCATAGGGTTGCGAGCCTTACGAACGTGCCCGATCCCGTGCGATAAAGCCGCTCCTGACAAGGTGCCTAAACCCCACGCCATGAACCCTAAACAACAACTGGGTTCTTGTTAAAGGATTCAATTTAAGCTACTACAATGAGGAAACCATACTATTTACCATAGACCCCCCTCAACCCTACTATGGCAACGTAAAACTAATTTCCTTACCAAGAACCCAGACAAGCCCGCACCAACCTCTTTGATGGTCGATGAAAGCAGACACTCAAACGGATCTGCAAGCTGGCCTCCACAGCATAGCCGTCCAGCCATTCGATGATTTTACGGCGACAGGCCTACCAAACACACTTTAGAGATTGAGGTAGCAGGGTAGGGTGTAGTTAGGGTTTAGGCTTTAGGCTTGGTGTCGGCTTTAGAACTGGAGGAAAGCTTCCATTGTTCGACTGGGCTTGTGGATAGAGTCTCGCGAACCCAGAGGGCCCAACAACCCCCGCGCCGATGGATTTGTTGTCTAGGGTTACGGTGCACGATTCAGGACTGAAGCCTTGCCCATAGTCTCCATTGAAGCTCCTTTTTGGCTTACCTTATAGGATCCTAAACATAAAACCGGTTAGACCAAAAAGGGACTACAATGGAGAGGATGGGTAAGGTTCACAAGCGGAGGGGTCGAGATTAAGCACTGCATCGCGGAGCTGTCATTGCCAATGGGCACCCTGAATCCTGAGCCTAAACCTACCTCTTAGTGCCTAATGTAGGGGCCTTAATAATTATAATAAGGTTTTGGGGCCCATTATACCATCATTGTAATAAGGAGCCCCCAATGTAGAATAGGTAATTATTAAGGCCCCTGCAGTAGTGATTTCGTGGGCTGCACCAAGCTCAGCGTAGGCAGGGCCCTGTAAAAAAATCTTCAAGCTCAACTAAGCCCCTCAACCCTAATGTAGGGGCCTTAATAATGAGAAGAAGGGTTTGGGGTTCCTTATTTTAATTATACTATGCCGGGTTCCCGAAACCCTAGTCTAAGTCTTATAAGGCCCCTATATTAGAGAACCTTTAGAGTAACCCTTATGCATCCCCTTTTAAGGGACCCTTTTAAAGGAACCCTATTCTCCTTATCGAAGCCTCCTCATGTCGTGAAGCACCTCTTCAACGGATCAGGGGACTTTGCACGTGGGGCTATCACTCGCCAAACTGCACAGTTTTTTCTGACCCCACTGAAGGTACCTATAACTTGCAGCCGTCAACCATACTCATAAGTGGTGATTCTTTAAACTTGAGGGATCAGCCTCCTCGAAGTCGTGGCCGAAGTCGCCCGCAGAGCTGCAAGAACGGAAGCTCACCCTGGCAACTCGATGGATTTAGGGTTTGTGCTGAGGTCTAGGTTTGGGTTTGGGTTTCAGAAAGGGCCGGGTTTAGGGTTAGTTTAGGATTTTGGGTTAGGGTTTGGGTTTCAGAAAGGGTTTAGGATTAGTGTAGGTTTTTGGGTTAGGGTTTGGGTTCCGGGCCAGTTGAGGACTGAGGGTTTTGCCCTCGGGTTAGGGTTTAGGGTTCAGGTTTCGGGATTAAGGGGCTCTAAATGCCGGTGCGCGAAATCCAATGCTTTAGAGGTTAGGATTTGCCCCTAAACCCTAAACCCTAAAGCGTGGATATGTTCGTGCTAGCGGCCACGGAAGCTCGCAAGGAGGCGGTGCCCGCACACGTGCGTCCTAAACTCCCAGTTGAAAACCCTAAACCCTAAACCCTAACCCCTAAACCCTAAACCCTAAATTCACACGAAGAAACCGGTCTCGCAGTAATGTACCGACATTGCTATGCACACCAGGGCTGCCGCTCGTGTAGAGTCAAGGGTGGTCCTAAACCCTAAACCCCTAAACCCTTAAACCCTTACCCTTAAACCCTTAACCCCTAAACCCCTAAACCCCTAAACCCCTAAAACCCTAAATCCCTAAACCCTTAAACCCTAAATCCCTAAACCCCTAAACCCCTAAACCCTAAACCCCTAAACCCCTAGAACCCAAAATATCCCTAAACCCTTAAACCCCTTAAGCCCTAAACCTTATAAGACCCTAAACCCCCTGCGATGTTCCATGTCTTGGATGTTTGGAGCTCTGCTCCCCCCGAGACGACAAAAACCGCACCGAGCAGCGCCGAGCCAAGCTAGTCAAAGAGAGGGTTTAGGGTTTAGGGTTTAGGGTTTAAGGTTTAGGGTTTAGGGTTTAGGGGTTTAGGGTTTAGGGTTTAGGGTTTAGGGTTTTAGGATTTTTGGGTTTAGGGTTTTAGGGTAATTATTTTGGGTTCAGGGTCAGTGTTGTCAGTACCAATACTACTAAGCAAGTTTCCGCTTCTTCGGTTTCAACTCCAGCGCACCCCCCGCCCCCTCCCCTTGCCCTAAGCCGGGCGGGCGGCAACGGCGAAGGGGAAATGGATAGAACTCCTCCAACCGCCTAAACCCCAATTCAACGCGAGACCCTAAACCCTTAAGGACTCTGAACCCCAAGGCCCTGAGCCCCGACCCTCAACCCCAAACCCCTTGTTCCCAAACCCCATAAATCCTAAACCCTAAGGACCCGAAACCCCTGAACTCTCAACGCCTGGACTGCGATCGGCGGCGTGCCAAAGGCGACGAAGACCGCCGCCGGAGGCAACCACGGCCCTGGGAAGATTTGGTATTACCTTTGAGGGTTTAGGGCCTACGGTTTAGAGGTTCAGGTTTAGGGCCTGGGGTGTAGAGTTTCGGATTAAGGGTTCATATCGGCGTTAGGGTTGTAGATAATCGCATCTTTTGTTCCCTTGAGTCCTACACGCCTACAACAGGGACCCCACCAGCCGGAACATGAGCAGACAGCTGTCCTGTCCTCAGAATTATGTTTGCAGTCAGATCTGCATGCGGCAACTGCGAGCCCTTACAGTGAACCCCTCAAGCATATTGACTCGGAGCACCGTTAGTGAGCCCTAACCCCCCCAGGTACCTACTATATAGGGTACTAGAGCCACAAGGGCCCTATATAGTAGGTTTCTGGAAGGTTAGGAAGAGTATCCCCGCATAGTCCTTACACCATATACCCAATCCCTTCAAACTATTCAGGCCCTGAAACTATGTAATCCCAACCTGCCATCCTGGAGCTTGAAGATGCTGCCGGGGCTACTGTAGGGGCCTTAAAAAAAAGGGGAATTATACCCCAAAACCCTATTCGGAATAGGGTTTTGGGGTATACTTTGCTATAAGTATAATAAGGAACCCGTATTTCGCTGACGCTTATGCATGCTAATCCTGGCGACACTGCTGCACTCATCCTGGAACTTCCACCTAACCCAGAGGCCGTCATAGTTAGAGTTGCGTTTGGCGGTAGGGAGTACGGGCATTACTACTGATTATTGAAACCCCATACTGCCCCAACTGCTAGCCCCCTGACGGAAACGACACTCTTCATCCACACCACAAGAACCGCTAGCCAGGGGTGCTCTCAAATTAATGGGGTTGTACCAGTTACATCACTGGAATACTTATCTTCCACCCTAAGAGCTACATGAACCCACAATTAGGTTTTAAGGTTTACTTAGGGTTTAGGGCTTAGGACCGGTACACTACATCCTAGCCAGATCCCTCTTGCCCTTTAAAGCCGCCTTTATAGCTAGAAGGCGGCTTTGAAGGTATAGTTTACAGTCCTTATGCCGAGGAACCCAAAGGCATAGTCTTGGTAACAGTTCAAGCTGAGAAATAAGTCCCCAGACCTTCAGGGTTTTTGTAAATAGGGTTTGGGGTTTAGGGTTTAGGGGTTTAGGGTTCAGGGTTTAGGGTTTTAGGGTTTAGATCCCGAAACCTTAATACCCAGAAACTCCAAAATCCCCTTAACTAAGGAATTTAACCTCAGCTGTCCTTGAATCCAGTAGTGAGGGTCCTGTAAACTGAAGGTTTCTTCCTTAACTCAGGGTCGAGTCTCGGGTGGATCTTGCACACAAACAAACCCACAAACCCCTAATCCCCCAAAATCCTCCGCCCCTAAACCCTAAATCCCCAAACCCTACCCTAAACCGTGAACCCTAAACCCCCTAACCCTAAATCCCTAACATGTATACTTCGCATAGCCAGGAAGCCGGTCGGCTGTTACTAGGCGCCGGCTTGGGCTCCGGTTCGGCCGACTTTGCGGCCTGCAGCAGCTGATAGCTGGCCGAAGACCGCAATGTAGGGGCTTCAACAATTAGAACACCGCTTTTGGGGTATACTTTACTATATGTATACATCATTCTAGGCATGGTAGCACTGGATATTCAGGCTTCGGAAATACTAAATCTGAAGGCTTGGTCTTTGTGGCTTTGGGTGCAGGGCATAGGCTTTGGAGTTGGGGCTTAGGTCTCGTAATGGTGAACCAGTTTTATGCCTAGGGCCTTCTCAAAAAAAACACTGTAATCAAAGGGGTACAATCGACAACTTGGGTCTAAGAAACCCGGAGGCACATTCCAGCGCTGTCTTTCTACATACGAGAGTCTGTATGTGTGTATGTGCACACATACATGCTAAGCCCTAAACCCCCAACTCTAAGCCTCCAACTCCACTTCTTAAGATTGAGACAAGAACCCTCAACAACTCATACATACATCCTCGACCCCTATACAATCTTTAACTGCAGCATAACGCCGTTCTCAGTCTTCTGGCCCCTATCTTTTAACCCTCACCCGCGATAATGCAGAAGCCTAACAGAGCCTTTGTAGAACCTTTGGAAGATCCTCCACTACTCCCGCGAAATGACACCCTCCGCCGCCTGCGCCACCCCCGGCGGACAGGGGCGGCTCTGTGCCACCTCGTCGGGTGGCGTAGGCCGGGAAGAAGACGTTCCCACCTGGTGACAAGGTTTAGGATTAGGATTTATGGTTTAGGGAAGTGAAGGTATAGGGTCTAGGATTAAGGCTGATGAAGGGTGTAGTAGGGTTTAGGAAAGTTTAGGCTTTGCTTTGCTTCAAGTGCGTTGATCCTGGACAACCCAAGTCTGCCTTTGCAGGCATACGCCTAGGTGCGACATGATCTGACAATTAGAGGCTTTGGGTTTCGGGTTTAGTGTTACTGATCCGTGAAGCTTGGGGCTTCGTAATTCCCTAAACCTTATAAACCCCAAATCTTGGCGATGCGGGTATGCGATGACTAAGTGATGCTGCCTTCATTGTATATTGCCTCATACCTGGGTCCCTGAAGCTTAAAATCCAAAACGGCAGGTTCAGGAAATGAGAAACCCCGAACGCCCCCCGATGAGACACATTCTCTGCCTGGTCGGCTGCGGCTTGCAGGCGCCGCACCTGTGCAACGGCTCAAGGGGTTCGGGGCTTTCGGGTTTCACGGTTTGGGGGTTGCAGGCTTTTGGGCATAATTCGGGTTATGGGGATTGGAGTTTACAGCTTTAGTTTAGGGTGTAAGGCTCCAGCCGTGAACCCTAAACCCTAAACCCTGAACCCTAAACCCCAAAGTAGGGCCGAGACCCGAACATTTGTTGAGCCATGGCCTCCAGACGGCTGAGCCCAATCTCTTCCAAGTCTGCCTCAGTGGCTTCAGTTGTGTTGCCATGAGGCTCGTTTTTTGATGGTTAAGGGCTTAGTGGTTCGTTTTAGGGCATTTTAGGGTTTAGGGTTTATGGGCTTTGGATTTAAAGGGTTAATGGGCTTTAGGGTTTGTGGGCTAACAGTTTAGACATGATGCTCTCTTCCCTACCCCCTTATACAAAGCCCTCAGACCCAGAGGCTTTACGACAGCAGGCAGGGGTTGGGGTTTAGGATTTGGACTTTAGGGTTGTTACTTCCAGCCCCCGAAAACATTGAAAACAAGCAAGATATCCGTAATATAGTAAACCAAGCAACTCGCAATATTATCCATTGTGGTTGCTTTGTCTAATTTTGGAAGAATGTACCTCCCCAACACCAATTCTAGCTATGAACGTGTTTGTGTTAGAACTTCGGGTTTAGGGCTTCGTGGTTTGAGTTTGAGATTTAAGCGCTTTAGGGCTTGGGGTTAACGGGCGAAAGCATCGGGGTCTTCGTATAAGCACCTAAGCTTGGGTTCGGGGTACCTTATAATCCCGTGTCGATAGAACGTAGTGAATATAGCGACTCTAGACGGACATAGCTACTGATTGCCGACGGCCCCAAGCCGGACCCCGAACCACCTTTACATTGCACTATAACCCTAAGGGTCCAAGTACCTAATAATCATATACTCTCCCAACTATTAAGCTAGATAACTGTTATCCGCAACGAAAGTACCTTATTATTAGGTCATTTGGACCCTTAGGGTAACACATACTTGAATTTGCTTATCCAGCCTCTGGGGGTGATGCGCATTAGCCCAGGGATTACACAGGATCGAGATGGTGTAAGGGTGCTGAGTGCAGCACTACAGATACGAATACCTGAACCCTAGGCATCCCTCAAACCGCAAACCCTTTAATCGAAAAGCCCTAACCATCATCAACACCCCCTACATGCTAAACCGAAAACTCACAACCTCAGACTCCAATCATTACTGTGAACAACAAGCCGAGCCCTAAAACCTAACTACCCTAACCCCCTCCCCCCACCCTTATTCAAGCCTTATTAAAGGTGAGGCCTACCTAAAACCCAACTACCCTAAACCCCCGCTATTAGAGGTCATGCCTAGTCGCAATTTCCAGCTCCTTTACTTCCCGAAGGTGGCGGACGCCAAGCGGGTGCTGAATTTTGGAAAGGAAGCGGCTCAAGCCAAGAGACTCCTCAGTCCGGCTCATGTGGGGAGGGGGTCGCTAAGAACTGTAGCAAAGTTAGGGTTGGGCTATGTTGTAGTATATAGAGATGGTTATAGATAGGTACAGATACATAAACGAGTGTGTGTGTGTGTGTGTGAATACACATATGCTTTCGTAAACTTGTGTTTGTAATGGTTTTACCATAACGTGCATATGTGGCGTGCCTCAACGACCCAAAAAGGGACCATAATTTTGACAACCACCCATATGTACATATACACATGTGAAAGAAAGGAGAGAGGATCTTGTTGATAACCGAATGTCTCAGAGTCCGCTTGTTGTGGGGAGGTTCAGAAAGATGGGGTACCTTGTAGGGGCCCGTCCCTGAGATCTACGGCTGTCCGAGGCGTTTGGGGTCGTACCGTGGGTGCGGATGCTGGGATGGGGTTGCCGGAGGGTGTGTTTCGGCCTTTTCGGCTCAGCTCCGCCCTACTATGAGGTTTGAAGATGTAGGATTGAGGATAGGAGTTGGAGGCGAAGAGGTGCGGTGCTGACATTCGGGTTTTGGACGGATGGTCAGAACGAGACCCACGACATCGAGGATGATTACGATCGTGAATAGCGTGCTGTTGAGGATTATGATTGTGATTGTCAACCTCGTCATCACCGTCATCCTCATCGTCATCATCATCGTCATCATCATCATCATCATCATATTCTTCTTCTTCTTCTGCATCTTCGCCCATCATCAACACCATCTTTCCTTTCGTCATCACCATCAAAAGCCCTAACCCCGGCAGCAGCATCTTCAGTGCCCTAGGCATTAGACCCTGCATCCCTAAAGTCTTACATCCTCCGGAAACAACCCGAATCAAATTCGATCGCCTTAATTGAATACTACGCTCCTAACCCCTGAACCCTCAACTCCCCAAATGCACAACAGTTGCTAAAGTTCACCCCTTTCTTGAGGAATGTGCCTTAAAGCAAGGCGTCATTCCCTAAACTCCTTTTCTCCTGAACTTGCGGTATACCCCTCATTTCAGAATTTCAATCCTCAGCTTAAGCCCAAAGCCCTACAAGCCTAAGCCCCAAACCCTACACCCTAAACCCAAAGCCCTAAACCCCAAAGCCCTAAGCCGCAAAGCCCTAAACCGTAAACCCCTAAACCCTAACCCTAAACCCTGATCCCTAAACCCTAATCCCTAAACCCTAAACTCTACGCCCTGGAGTCTAAAGGAAGCCGCGGGGCCAAGGCAGCCGCGAGGTCGCTTTCGGAGTCGGAGTGAGCCATGGCGGAAGCGACGCAAAAGGATTGTTTTTTTTTGATTTAGGGTTTAGGGTTTTTAGGGTTTAGGGTTTTTACATTGGGTTTAGGGTTTTGGGGTTTAGGGCTTTTTTTACATTGGGTTCAGGGTTTAGGGTTTAGGGTTTTACATTGGGTTTAGGGTTTAGGGATTTGCTTGTATGGATTATAATAGGGCTTGTATGGATTAGCTTAGCTTTTAGGGTTTAGGATTTGTAAGGGTTCCGTAAGGGCTATAATATGATGTCGTGCGGGGTCTTTTAAGGTCTTTTTCAAGTTGTAATTATGCCGGTTCGGATTCTCTGCAGGTGTCGCGGTTCAGGGTCTGAGGCCTCGCATCTCTTCGTTTCTAGTGTGTCCGGCATTCATGCTGTGAGGGTCCCTTGAAAGGCTTGGTCCAGGGCGTGGTCCGCCGGGAGCGATGTTGCATTCAATCTTCGGACGCGAAGCCGAATATTTGAGGCCTCGTGGTTGAGGTTTCGGGGCGTGGGTGAAGCGTCGCTTAGGGTGTAGGGATGCTGCTTTGGGGTCTCAGGTGTCAACCAAAACGGCAAGGTATAGATAAACATGCCAGTAAACAAATCAATAGAAACAGAACAGAAACCCTGAACCTTAAACTCTAAATCCTAACCCCTAAACAAGCATAGCTATCGAAAGGTGCTGAGGGTTCCGGAGTCAATCTTCGGACGTTTGGCGGTTTTCCGGCTTGCGGGAAAGCAGCTGCAAGCAGCGGGGCCTGGGTTTATGGCGTAAGGTTTACGGCTTACGGTTTTTGGGTCCAAGTTCTAAGCTTTGGGGTCTAGGGTTTGGGGTCCAGGGTCTAGAGTGTGGGGCTTCGGCGATGTCAGACGGCTCCAGCTCCAGAAAGCAACCGTAAACCCTAAACCCTAAACCCTAAACCCTAAACCCTAACCCCAAGCTCTAAACCCTAAACCCTAAAGAATTGCGACATAAAGGCCTCCCCCCCCTCATCACGAAAGAGGCTGGTCCGAGCTCGGGTCGAACATCCACCTGAAATGTAGGGGCCTTAATAATTAGAACAGGGTTTTGGGGTATAATATACTATAGTTACAATAAGGAACCACCAAACTAGTATAGGGCCCCTATACTAAACCCTAAACCCTAAGCCCTAAATCCCCCCCAACTCCTTAACCCCCAAACACTAAAACAACCTGCCATCTAAGCCTGAGAAGAAGCACTGTCAAGTCCCGAGGCCCCAAATAGGACTAATTTCAACGAACTGATACCGACCAAAAATCGAAACTGAGCACCCTAAACCTAAACCCCTCAACCCTAACCCCTAGCCCCTAACCCCCAAACCCTAAACCCCTAACCCTAAACCTCTAAACCCGTCTGTAGGGACGGTCGGGGTTTAAAGCCTGAGGATGGCGGGTATAATGTAGGGGCCTTAATAAGTAGAGTAGGGTTTTGGGCTCCTTTGTACTGTAATAATGGCTCCTTTATACTATAACTATAATAAGGAACCCCCAGAGCAATATAGGCCATTATTGAGGCCCCTATATTAAGCACAATGCATAGTTGGAGATGCCTTGGCAAGACATACTTTGAGTGTTCCGACTTCAAGCTAAAGCCGTCAGCTTGGGGTCCAGTGTCGGGGGTAGGGTTGAGTTTAGGGTAAAGGGCTTGGGGTTTAGGGTTTAGGGTTTAGGGTTTAGGGTTTAGGGTTTAGGGTTTTACGGTTCTGGGGTCAGGGACCAAACTGCACACAGTCTGAGGATACTCTCAGCCTAAGGTCAAGGATCGCTGAGGGTCGCTGCACAGCCTCCAGGTTTCGTGTTCCTATTAACCGTTGGCATTTACATTTATCCTGAAGTATCTCTACCGGACGAACGTTAAGCCTAAACTTTAAGCCCAAGGTATGTACGCTATAGGTATTGCTAGAGGTACCTCTTAGGGAAGCTTTCTGTGCAGGTTCAGTGTTTGAGGATTAAAGTCGCAGGCTGGGCCTCTCTGTGAGCGTCGTACATGTGCTAGGGTTTAGGGTTTAGGGTACCCTCAGAGCCCAAATCCCCTAAGGCCAGAAATCATTGTAAAAAACACATGTCACATTTGGGGTCCACCTATCTTGTCAAGTTGTTGGTTTAGGGTTTAGGGTTAAGGGTTTAGGGTTTAGGGTTTATGGTGTTCTTCAACTAAGGCTAAGGGGATCTGAGAGGGGTATTGGCTCTCTGAGGAGGTAGCCACGGACAGACAGGGAAGTCCATCTTTTCGTCCGCACTGGAACAACCCTTCGGGCCACTGAGACGCACGGTGTTCAAGCGCATGCTACGACACAAGCAAAGAGAGAGCTCTTAGCGCATGCGTAAGATCTATAGGGATCTGCAATCCGCATCTATTGGGGTTTGGTTCCACGGGTGTTGGGGCTGATCCACCTTGCCGATAGTTGCAGAGAAGGCATACTGTGATAATGGAACCCAAATCTACGGCCAGAGAACAATCCTCTGGGTGCAGCAAGCAATCCGGTCAAGGGCCTTTGACTTTGACCATCCGCAAGTTCAGCTGGGCAACGGCGGGTGTCGGATTGAATCCTTTCTGCATGCCATCGTCTTGGACTGAGGGTCTGAGAGTTGAAAGGTCAATCGGCTGGTTGCAACTAGCGTGTTCTTTGGGCCAGCGTTTACTCTCACATCACAAGCAACATCTGCAGCTTCCTAAACCCTAAACCCTGAAGAACTATGAACGAAACCTTCTGACTTCTTTACCCCAATCCAGGCCGATGGCACTCCCAAGACGTCTCTGAAGTCTTCTCCTTCGCGCCCAAGACCCTACAAACCTAGCTCCAAGCCATAACGGCATGTTAAGGCTTTGCTTTAAATAATTGGAACAGAGGCGTGGGATATCATCTACTCATCCCATTTGGGGACCCATAAGGGAGTAGAATGACCTCGGGACAAATTTTGGTCCTTCTTTAGGGCCCTAAGCCCCAAAAACCTGGTTTGGGTTTGTGCTAAATCCGGCTGTTTCTTCTTGTTGCCAGCTGGGTGAGACTCTTTGACCGCTCGGAAATGGCCCCTCCGATCGGCAACTGTGGGGGTGTGGGGCTTAGGGTTTAGGGCTTAGGGTCTAGAGCTTAAGAGTTTATAGGGCTTAGGATGGTCTTCGGGTTGGCGGTTCGAGGGTGTCGGGATTGGCTGCAGGGTTTTTCTGGGGGATTGTTGCTCTAAAGGGTCTTAGGGTTTAGGGTTTAGGGTTTAGGGTTTAGGGTGGGCAAAGTGTGGGTGTGGGGCACAGGGAGCAACCATGTAATCCGGAACCCTAGCGACTGCAAAAGCCCATGATTTTCGTCATCAAACACCCAGAGCGTGCAGAAACCCTAAAGACCCTAAACCTCCTTAACCCAAATGAACGACAGACTTCCTGTACTCCCGCCTGAAAGGGCTTAAGTTTCAGCGGCTAGGGTCCGTGCCTGTAAAGAGACCATCTTGAGCTAAGAAATCCACCCCGGGCAGCGGATTCTCACTTCGCGAGGGCTGGCAGGGTGTGAAACGGAAGCATATGGGTAGTTTTCTAAATTAGGGTCCCTTTTAGGGTCCCTTTTCTAAGGGTGCCGTATTATATTGGGGACCTAAAAAGGGATCCTAATTTAGAGAACTACCCATATACGTACCCAGAGGCTCCACTGCCCCTGTGCAGAAGGATTTCTTACTCCAGGGCTTTACGAGGTGCTCGTGATTTCTTTCAGGAATCCCTCCTTCGAGCAATGCTCCGTCAAAACGTAGGATTCCCCTTAAAGGAACCCTTAGCAGCCTTAGCGGATTCCGGGTTGCATCTATGCAGGGTGAGGGAAGCTAGGAGCCCGTGGGGGCATGGCGTCAGCCACCTCTGGAACATGAAAACACAAGAATCCTACCGCTGACATCGTTTTGGGGGGTCGGTGTTCGAGGTTTGAGCGAAAAGAGTTGTACGGCTGGTGCTTCAGTGCTGCTGTTGAAGCTCCTGCTGGTGTTAGCGCCACTCTGTTGCTGCGATTCCTCTGGTTGGCTCAGGGGCCCTAGCTTAGCAACGCGGGAACCAAAAAACAAGCCTGAAACTTATTTCTCAAAGGCAAACTACACTGATGAGCCAATGTGGGTGAGCTGTGTCCATAGCCCCATCCGCTACGCCATTGCCGTGACCCATTTCATAGTAAGAGCTTAAATCGATAATACCCTAAACCCTAAACCCATAATATCCTTGCGGGGTTGACGCCACAAGGGGCTGCACAAGACAGGCAGGCACCTGCATTAGCCGGCTCATGTTCGCAGAGGGGGCCCCAGGATCTGCTACAACAGTCAAGGTTTAGGGTTTAGGGTTTAGGGTTTAGGGTTTAGGGTGTCAAGAACATGAAAGACAGCGCTTAGAAGCCAGCACATGAAACAACACAGTAGCAAAAGCGGTAATGCCAGTGGTAGCACAAAAATGGTCATGCCAGTAGCAACACTACGAAGGAATGACAGTTAAGTTGGCATAGCAAACCAGCACACTCTAAACGCAAGACACAGAGACATCAGAGAGGAGTACAGTGTATCCTTCAGATGCAGGCCAAGCATGAACCAAAGACGAAGGCACGTACTGTAGGGGCCTAAATACTTTGAATAGGGTTTTAGGGTATATTGCCCAATAATTATAATCAGGAGCCCCCCCAAAAATAAATAGCATAGGTAACTGCTTAAGGCATGCCCTATCTTAACTGCAACCACCACATACGAACTTGACTCCTAAACCCTAAATCCTGCAGCCTCGTAAGGCTCGTACGAGCGACTCTATGGATCATAACCAAGATGTTGTTAATACTTACTGTTGTTATTACTGTCGATATTGCAGTTGCGAGTGTATGATGCTAACTAACATTCATTAGTCCTCCTTTTGCTCTGTTTGCCGTTGAACACTTGGCGTACCCTGAGCCCCCCTCTGCCGGAATCTATGTGCCACTGCAATGGGGCTGGACACCCGGACTTCTCCTCAGCGCCTTAGCACGAGGGCACAGAGAGTCACGCACTCTCCTTCTCTATGTCGCTTTCTCTCTCTCTCTCTCTCTCTCTCTTTCTCTCGCTGCTTACGGACTTGAGTCCTCCCTGTTGCGTGGCCGAGCTTTGTGGGTGATATTGGGTTTGCAAGTTTTGCTTTAGCGGGTTCGGGAGACAGAGACTTGGGGAGCACGGGATTCGCAGCACATCCGAACAAGTGTACGACTTCAAAAAGACTGAGTGTGGACTTGGAAAGAAGAACTGCTCATTTCAACGCGATGAACATGCGCTCAGAATATTGGTCATGTTTTCGTATACAAGTTTACGATATCTTGACCCCCAAACCGTACACTTAGCTTCGCTAAACAACTACCAAGTTCTGTAATTATTCACAATGCACGAAACTTCGTTGTTCGCTGCCAACCGCCCTGCTGAAGACTTCAGCATGTAGGAAGCAACGATAAAACTAGAGAACAAAGAAACGAGCTTCTCCAGCCATAGCATCGACCAGGCTTCTTTTGCTTCTGCCGAGATTGCAACTTGCTTCAGGGAACCTCAAAGCGAGCCCCTGTATGTTGAATGCTATCCCTGTTTGTGAAGGGCCATTCATGGTCAGTCCTGCCTTTGCTATGGGAGACGCTGCCCCTTCACTGCCCTGAATGTCCTGATGCATCACTGTCCGAATGCTTCAGCAACGGACATGTGCTGCAAAAAAACCACCGACAGTGCGGCCATCTTGTGATCTATTGAATGGCAATATAGAAGCTAGAATAATCAGTGATGCTTTTCCTTAAAGGTTCTCTATGTTATAATATACCGAACACCACGACCCTGTCCAAATCATTCAGGCTGCCATGTCATGTTGCTTCAGTTCTACATGCCGACCTCGCCCTCTCCTAGCAAGAAACCCCAAAGACTGAAGCCAATAATCTCCCTCAGCCCCAAATCCCTGAACGGCCCTAAACCCTCAGGCCTAAACCTAATCCCGACCCTCAACCCCCAACCTGAACCCGAAATGTCGACACTCGTAACTCTGAGCCCTAAACCCTAACCCTGAACTCTAAGCCCTCAATCTTCTTGGGAAACGGACTCAATGTCGCGGAAGTCTCTCTTCTCAGCCGATGCCTTCAAGTAACGAGAGCAGCGAATGTAAGGGTTGGGGGCTTTCTTCGGGGTGTAGAGATCCTTTCGGTTTCGGAATGTTGGGCTCCTTCCATGCTCATGCCTGACAACACAGCACCCTACAGCACGCCAGGCCCCGAATCCTGAAACTCCCAGACCTTCTTCTAACAAGGCCGACAATTTTCGTAGAGTTTGGGGTTTGCGGGTTTCTGGTTCCTTGTTAGGGTTATATTTAACATGATCGTTTCTAATCCTTACTGGGCTTTACTATACCCAAAAATGTAAAATTGCGTCCAACAAGGACCCAGGTTTGGGGTTCAGGAACCTTTTTTCTGCAGCTGCCGGCATCTCGTCTCAATTGGGGAGGACGGCAGACTCTGCGAACGTGTTGTGCAACGTTGCCGCCCTGGAAACCCGAAACCCTGAAATCAATTCTTGCTTAGGAACTTCATTACCATAATAGGGCTCGAACTAAATGACATGGTTTCCTCATTTCTGATAACATGAATTTTACTCCTTAGCAAGAGCCCGGCTCATCTTCAAAATCACCTGAACCCTCAACCTCCTAGGTCCTAAATCCCCTAAGCTTTAGGGTTTATAGGGTTGAGGGTCCCGAATGCAAAAGCAGTCTTCCCAGAATCCCGACGCCTCGTTGCCAATGCTGTCGGTGGACACCTCAGGTGCAAGGTTTGGGGTTCAGGGGTTTAGGGTTTAGGGGTTTAGGGGGTTTAGGGTTTAGGGTTTAGGGTCTAGGGTTTGGGGTTTAGGGTTTAGGGTTTGGGGTTCAGGGGTCTAGGGGCTCGTCGTTCTCCGACTCAGGGTCTCTTTTTAGGGGCTCCTTCTGGGGATCTATAAGGGCTTCTATAAGCGTTCTCTAAGGGTAGTTCTCTAACCTAGGGTCCCTTTTAGGTTCCTTTTCAAAAGGGTGCCGTACTAGATTTGGAATCGAACAAGGGGCTGCAAGCTTCAGGCATATGCAGGGGTTATTTGCCCGAAACCCTAAAGCCGAAGCCCTGAGCCCTACATAATCCGCAACCCTGTTCCATGGAGCAGAAGTCCCCTAAAGTAGAAGAGCTAGCAGCTAGCCCACCAAGCACAAAGGGGGCCCCCTGAGCCTTCATGCTTGCATGCCAAATCGTGTTCCTACTACCCTGGGCCTGCCCCTACCGCAGCAAGAGCTGAACCTGCCCTTCTGAAGAGAATTCCGGGAAGCCCAGTTGGGTTGCCATTTCGCAGCATTTTTCAGCTGGATTCTGGAGCCTAAACCCTAAACCCTAAACCCTAAACCCTACACCCTAAACCTTCTTACCAAAGCCATTGCTCTGGTCTTGACGTTCTGGGCCCGACCCTGAGCCCGGAATCTACAACCACAAGCCCTGACCAGCACGTACCCCCAACCCCCCGAAGCTGTGAAGTTGTCATCATCTGGTCTAGGCCTTAGGCCCTTAGGCAGCCTTAGGGGTAAGTTTAGGGTTTATGGCTTCAAGGCTGAGGGCTTTCAGGGTCAACAGCCGTTGTCTGCTGCCTCTGTGGCGGTCAGTCTGGTACCTAGGTAGCAGTAGTTGCGTTGTACTGCAAGCCATTAGAGCTTTGAGCAGTCCTCATACAACTACAGCAATACACTCACGACGAGACTCTAACTATCCAAGCCCCTGATATACCTTCGGTGATCTGTGTGCGTCTAGGGATGAGGGTTACCTGAAATACACCTGGACGCACGGCTGCCGTTGAATCTCATCTCGCACAGGCCGTAAACCAGAAACCATCAAACACGAGTTCTTAAGGATTTAGGGTTTAGGGTTTTAGGGTTTAGGGTTTTAGGGTTTAGGGTTCAGGGCTCAGGGTTCTAGAGTTTGGGGTTTTAGGGTTTAGGGTTTAGGGTTCTATACCCTTAAGCCCGAAATCCGAAAGCCCCCCGCTGAAAGCTGAGAAAGCGTGCCGAACGCTTCAGCTTCGGCATCACGCTGCCAGCTGTCGGCATGGAGTTTCCTGTAGAGTTGGAGTGTAGGATTTGGATGAGGACGAAGAGCGCAAGGCTACTATAGGGGCCTTAATACTTAGAATGGGGCTTCGGGGTATATTCTACTTCAATGATAGTAAGGAACCCCCAGATAGTGTCAATTCTCTTAGCCTTCGAACATTTTTGCTCGCATGCTCCCAGGACAATTTGTGTACACGAGACCTAAAGTTAATGGATGGATGGAGACAAGGGCAGGACCAACCCGATATATCCCCGAAGCAGTAGCTCTGCTACGCAGTTGTCCAATCGTTCTTTGCTTCGCATCAGGCTTCCCATAAAGGCATGGGGGTTCACGCCTTTCGAGCTGTCGGGTTTCAGGAACGCACGTTTGAAGGTCTGCATTGATGAGAATTTCAAAGTTTTGGGTTGCAGGTTTCCCTAAACCCTAAACCGTAAACCCTGAAACCTAAACCCTAAACCCTAAACCCTTAAATCTAAAACCTAAATAGGGTCTATCGACCCTGAACCCCCAAAACTCTAAACCTGACCCCCCCAACCCTGAACCTGGGGTTTCAAAAGCCCGAGCCACCGGATCCTCAAACTCTCCTTCGCATACTCCGGATCTACGGTAGAGGGTATTGGGGCCCATTATACTATAGTTATAATAAGGAACCCCCAAAATAATTTAGGTAATTATTTACGGCATGGGATGGGGCTTCAAAGTTTCGGGTTTAGGGGCCGGGGCTTCAAAGAGGGCCTCCGGCACAGCCTTCCGGGCTCAGGGTTCAGGGGTGTAGAGTTCAGGCGCACACCGAGGAATCTCGACATCAACTACGCCCAGACACCACAATATGTCCTGAAACCTACCTGGATGAGCGGGTTGCTTCGGGCCTGAGGACGATGTGCCACAGTTTACGGTTCAAAGGAGGAGTAGGGCATACGATTGGGAGTGGCCAATCGAGGATGTCTGTGCCAACCATTCAGACCTCTGAACCCTGAAGGTCGTCAAATGATTTGCCTGCCCTCTCAACCCTACAGTAGAAGCCAGAAAGTTGGAACATCATTATTCTCATGCCCTCAAGGTAAAGTATATAGGGAATCCCAGCACGAATCATCCGAAATCCATCTTCCAACTTTCTGGGCTTCACTAGACGTGCTGGAGATCGCCGGTCCTTTCACCGTAGTTCTGCTGGACTGCAATCCCAGGTTGCTTGGATTCACGTCCAGGTCCTGTTTTGTCTTTCAGGGCTTGCGGGACTCGAGACACGGCCTCTGCGCTTCTATACAATACAAGGGTTTAGGGTGTGTGCAGTCTGCATGGGGTTTGGGATGTTCGATCTCCGTAAACCCTAATGTAGGGCCCTTAATAATTAGAATAGGTTTTAGGGTATGTTACGGTATATCGTACTATAGCTATAAAAAGGAACGCTGCAAAATAGTATCGGTAATTCTGTAGGACTCTATATGAAGCCCTTACGAGTTAGGAACCAATAGCCAACAAAGCAAACACACAAAAAAGAGATACAACTAAAAGCCCTCGTATAAGAGCCATTCAAGGGAATCTTATTTGGGTCTATTGTACAATAAGTATGTGGGGGCGAAAGGGAATGCTATTACGACATGCTCCGACCTCCTATTAATGGTGGAATGAATACAGCCTTTGTCCCGCCGAACCTACCGACTGGACTACTACACTGCGAACCCGGAATTTGCTTACCGCAGGACTTGCTGCAGATCTCTAAACCCTAAGCAGTACATTCTGAGCCCTAGTAAAACCCAAATCTCAGACTGATATATACAGTTGAAAACCGAAATCTCAAACTTAGCGCTGTATACCACCAGAGACTTTTAACTTTCCGTGGAGTTCGTTCGACCACTGAGTAAGCGCTGAGTATATTATTTCTGATACTGCTGTCTCCGGGAGGGCACCCCTAGACGACGTCACTCCGCAGCTTCGACTGCACATGCACCGTAGCACTTGTAGAGAAGGTTGCTTACTACTGTGATGGTTAGGATGCTTGAACTTCGACTGCCCCGAAGATCGGATGAGTCAGTTCTCTCTGCTTTGAAGCTTCGTTCCCTACAACCACAGGCAGAACAGAGAGGATACAACCATCTACGGTGTAGGGCTTCATGGTTTTATGCAAAGTCTTTAGGGTTTAGGGTTCTGCCTTAACCTACCAAAACCTACTTTTTTGTAGGGTCCCTATAAATTCCATATGAGGGTTTGTAATAAGAACCTACAAAAAAGTAGGGTTTGGTAGTTTAAGGTAGGGTATAGCTGGCCGGAGCCCCTCCTGCGCCGTCTGGAGGGCAAGCTGCTCGATTCGTCCCAGATCTTTCAGCATGAACCTGGCCATTCCATATTCCAGACGCTCCAAGATATCGGTTCAGGGTTTAGGGGTTTAGGATTTAGGGGTTTAGGGGTTTAGGATTTAGGGGTTTAGGGGTTTAGGATTTAGGGGTTTAGGGTTAAGGATATCTTTGTTATGCTCTTGAACCCAAGTAAAGTCCCCATGCAGCCGCTGCAAGAACACTAAAGTGAGCGGTCGGTATTGGGCTCACTGGGTTCGCTTCCCGTGGCCCAGGCTTCTTTTTACAGCAGGGCCTGGGATTTCTCCTGGTGCATTGAGGGCTAAGTTTTGAAGGTCTTTCGGGTTCTCCAGTGTTGAGGAGCATGGCCTAGCTGAGCACGACTAGCCAAGTTCAACCATTATAACCCCTATATAAACCTGAAACCTTAAACACACGGCATTCAGCCAACACCCACACTTGGCATGAGAGTCTTCAGTTGCTTGATGCTGCGGTTGCGAGCCCAGTAAATCGAGCCAACCTAGAAGACAGCCGATGAGCCTAAACCCGAACCGGGTCGACGACGTATTGATGAGCAGAGTTCCGGTCTAGGGCTCGGAAACTCTTGGTTTACGAGTTTTCGCAGCAGAAACAACCGATTTCCTCAGACGAATAAAGGAAGATTTCTCCAGCGACAACAATAAAAACTGTTAAGGTATCCCTGGCTGAGAGATGGGGTCTCTGGATCATGCAGGACAAACAGCACACGGAACGGATGCCCCCCAAGCTTGCGGAGTTGGGGTTTACAGTTTTTCACATCTAAGTATTGCTTTTGGGCTTCAGGCTGAAAGACTGAGCTTCAAATCACCAGTGATGCTTCTGACGCTCGTGGCAGTCAAGCATGGCCGGCGGACTGCACATCTCGGTATGCCTGGCACGAGAGCAAGCTATGTAGGGTAAGTTTCAGGGTTTCGGGCTCAAGGGTTTTTTCTAAGCAAGACATACGTGACTTGCTGGCAATCCGTCTACACTTTGTAACCTGCAACCTGAGGACGCGCTCGCCCACCTGCACGAGCCGCGAGTGTGTCGCATGGAGCTCCTCGTCTTCGACATCCTCCGGTGCCTCTTCCTGGAAACTCAGAGTTTTAAAACAGAGCATGCACTAAAGGAGCCTCAAATCACCCTCAACTATGAGGTGTTAACAAGATCCGGGGCACTCACTCCCCGTTGCGACTGAGACTGTATCAGGGAAACGCGTCCTCAAGTCAGATCCCACACAACTCCTACCAAGACAGCACGTAAGATGATCAACAATCGAAACATAGCAAAACACCAAGCAAACAAAAAAGACGCCACTGCGTCCCTTTCTGCAAATAAACTCTAAACACTAGCCATTAACGTCAAGCCCTTAAACCCTATAAAGCCCTGTCCACTCCTGTCAAGTTTGTGGCTGCCTGCTGGGCATGCCTTTCTTCGAGATACGCTGATTTCGCCAGGGTAGATCCCGAATAGAGACAGAGCACCACGACCACCATGACGACCCTGATGACCAAGACCACGAGGACCACCACGACGACCACTACAACGACCACGACAACCAGGAGAGCACCAGGAGACACCAGAGGACTTCGAGGAGACCCCATGAGACCACCCAGAGAGCAGCAAGAGACCCTAAATAACTACCAGGAAACCAGCAAAATGCTTTTTCCCAAGTACTGCACATCTAGAACCACACCCGAATGCTTTCCTCCCTGATCTCCTTTCCATAAGTACTGCTGTGATTCAATGTTGTCGATATCAACCAGTAGTCCCCGAACTCCACTTTGGACACTACGACAGCTCGGAAAAGCATGCAACGGCCCGACGCCGCACGGAGCCGGTGTAAATAATCAGACGTGGGACACTGATTTGCACCATATCCGGTAATAATGGAAATTCGTTCGCGCACGCCGAGGCGCCCTAATGTAGGCAACCCTCAGTGTTAGCACACTGGCTTGGGATTGCAACCTTCTTCACATAATATATAGAGAAAACGAGAAAACGAATAATTACTGTAGATGTGGATATAGGTCCTCGACTAGGGTGCGATCCTCGCGGAATGTTGGCAGGTATGATCGATGGGATCTGACCGGTTAATTCGTGCCAGAACTTTGGGCAACGAAGAGAGAAACTCTGCACATGCTTCGTTAAGCTGCGTCTGCAGCTTGGATCGCAGCTGTCCCGGCCCTCCTTCCAAGCCTGAGCAATTCCTCCACGATCCGGGCTTAGTTAACAGTATTTTTTAGCACATAAGGTCCCCATATGTGGCTGGCCTTGCTGCGTGACCACTGAGCCGTGCCAAAAACTGGATACTTCGCACTGTTGCGACTGTAGTCAGATGTCTGAAACTCTTGCGCAATCAGCACGCAATTCTCTCTGGTATATGTTACGGAGTTGTCCAAGCGCTCGATCGACCAGACCCAATCAGCAGGACCAGCTGCACAACACAAAGGAACGCCTGAGTAGTAGCAGCGCCCTCCTTGGAGCCATAGCATCTGAAGAAGATCGTCCCAGTCAAGCTTGAAGGTGCCATGCCAAGCGGCTGCTTTTGCAGCAGCTCTATGGCGTGCCACAGAGAGAAGATGCATCCCATGACCACGCAGGGTCTTTCGCCTAATGGACTGCGAGTCCAGGTAGCATTGCTTGCACCAGGCCAGGGGTTTCACAACATTAATTCTCGAGGCTTGCTTGTAAAACTGCTCCTCATGCTTCCAGAGCTCGCAGCGTGTACATCTCCACTTACGCTCTGCATCCGGTCCTCGATCTCCTGCGAATGCGGGTTTCCCACCTGAACCGGGACGGAGTTTTGCAACAGCGATGGCTTCCTGCAGCAGCTGTGGCGGCATATCCTCCGTCCGGATGCGTGCAACCTCCCCGACTTTCTGTTTCGACCACTGCGCAGACCCGGAAGAAGTGCCAGCTTCATGAGAGGCGTTGTGAACAGCCGAGTTAAACTCAGCCGCAATCAGACAGCAGTTCCCTCTACGGTATCCTTGATTGGTGTCGATTCTCTCGATTGAAGCTCGCCAATGCGAGTTAGGTTTCAGTAGCTCCATGGGTATGCCGGAATATGCACACAGACCTCCCTGCTCAAGCACGAGGTCAAGCAGGTGGTGCATGTCTATGTTGGATTGCCTGCCCTTCTCACGGTCTCTTCGACATGCCGCGGCTGCCACTATAGTACTCCAGCCACGCAAAGTCGATCTGTACTGGTAGCCCTTTGCAGATTTCGACAACCCAAACTTTTGATGTCGTCGCGTGGGCCGGCTCCGAGCATCCTCTACCAAATCTTTCAAGCGCTGGCAGTTCATGGCGATGGGAGGCTGGTGTTCGCCTGTTGTAAGCACGGCAACGTGATCGTCGGTGAAACTCGATGTAAGAGTGCGCTGTCCACGTAATGCGAAGGGAAAAACTCTCTGTCCTCGCCAGTGCAGATTTTGGCACGCGGAGCCAAGGATGTGTTTCATGGCTTTGAACGCGTGCCAAGGAAGCCAACTTGCACAGGGCCCCAAAACATTAGCAGAATGCATGTTGACAAAAAAGCCACATGTCACAGAAAAATGAGGCCTTTTGATTAATGTCATTTTGGTCCGGACTGAGCAGGAACAGGCAATTGGGGTGGTGGGGACAACAAGGCCTACACCCGCAAACCCTCTGACAAGTCTTGCAGAACCCACACCTGCGTGCACGAACCTTTCGGAAGCCTCAACTAAACCCTAAACTCTACCGTTGCCCAAAACCCTAAACCCTAATCTGAGCCCAACAAAATAATATAGGTAATTATTAATTAAGGCCTCTATATTTAAGTCTAAACCGTTACATTACCGTTCGCGCCTCGGTAGCCTCTGCCTCGCCTGCGAGAGCAGATCGTCTCACCTGCATCGGCGCATCCACTTCTCCTAATCTATACTGAACCTTCTTAGACCCCTAGCAAAATCATAATTTTGGCTGCTTCTTAGGGTTTACCGTAGCCAAAGATATAAAACTACTTGAAAGTACCCCTAAGTAATGCTCTTTTGGGATGAACAACATACCACAGAGTCAGTTGTTGTTGCGGCTTAGGGTTTGAAAGGCTTAGGCGTCCCGTTTGCATATGCTTGGCCATATGTTTCCTTGTACGTTGCAGTTTATAAAGAGGCACTGCATGAGCTTCTTCTTAGCAAATAGGGTGTGCGGAGTTCAGTTCCATAGGGTTTAGGGTTTAGGGTTTAGGGCTGAGGGAATTAAGCTCGGGGGGGTTAGGTTGTTAGATTTTAAGGGCTGTGGGAATAAGCTTTAGGGCCAGGGCTTTGCAAAATAAAGTTTAGGGGCTTCAGAGTATACAACTCGCTGACTCTCTCCCAAGCATCTACTGTAAGGGCCTTAATAATCAGAACAGGGTTTTGGGGTATGCTATACTATAATCCTAATAAGGAGCCCCCAACAGAGCCCTAAACCCTGAACCCTAAACCCTAATAGGTAATTATTAAGGCCCCTATATGGGATCTTCCGAAAATTAGGGTGCCCTATTTCGGGGTCCTTATAATAAGGATCCAATTATTTAGAGTACTATCTTAGGGTCCCCTAATTTCGGAAACCCCCACACTACTCCCCGAACCTCGGCCAGCGACTGGTCCAGGAAGACCCGCTCTAAGAGTCCCAAGCGGCGGTCCTCCAGATTGGAGGGTCTGGTGCAAAGCTCGCGTTTCGGGTTTCGGGTTTAGGGTCGAGGGTCTGGTGCAATGCTCGCGCTTCGGATTCGGGTTTAGGGTTTAGGGTTTAGGGTTTAGGGTTTCGGGTCATTGCAATGCTCGCGCTTCGGATTTCGGGTTTAAGTTCGGGGCCTTAATAATTCGAACAGGTTTTGGGGTATATGATAGTATAATCATACTAAGGAGCCGCCGGAATAGTGTAGGTAATTATTGAAGCCCCCATGTTGGGATGGTATAGGTCCTTCAGTGATTGGAGGTTGAGGACTCCTGGCTCTTGTAGTGCTAAGCGGGGGCTTGTTGGGGGTGATACTGGGCTCTATGAGGTGCACTCGGGCTGTCCTGGTTTAGGCTTCTACGGATTCGGGCCGTGGAAGTGGCGCTGTTTGGGTTCTCCTAAACCCTAAACCCCTAAACCCTAAACCGTAGAGGGCAGTTGGGCTTAGCTTCTTGACTGAAACCCATCTTGCCAGGACTGGTGCCGATGTCAGCTGCGACGGATCGGCATAGAAGGCTTGCGACAAGTCTAGGGATGATTAATATATGAGTTAGCGCTTAAACCCTTGGGGTACAAGGGCTCAAGAGTGGATCAAGAAGAGGGCACCATGACTTAAGATTGCATCCGAGGTGGATTTGCCTGGAAGAATGACGAACGAAAGAGCTCGGGTTGCTGGAAGACCTGAGCCCGAACTCCTGAACAGAGGGCCTCAGTATCTTGAATAGGGTTTTGGGGGTGTATCTTGTGCTCGATGTATATTATAACACAGGGAACCTTTGGGAAGGGCATTTTCAAGTATCCACGCCTCCGTAAAGTACTGAATATCTTGGTGGCAGGCGGAATGCCAGTAGGCAGTCTTGCCGCGGGCATCCGCACCACGGGAACATGTTGGACGAAAGGTGCTCTGGAAACTTGAGGTGACCCAGAGATTGGTGTTCCAACGCCATGATGGAAAGCTGGAGTTATATATAGGGGCCTTAATAACATTAATAGATTTTTGGGGCCCATTAGGGGCTGGTCCACAGGGTCCCTAGTCTTGTTATGGTTTAGGGTTTAGGGGTTTCGGGCTTTAGGGTTTTGGGGTTTAGGGCTTTAGGGTTTAGGGGGTTTAGGGCTTTAGGGTTTAAAATAACAGCCTGAACCCAAAACCCTAAACGCACGAACTCCTTGTCGAAGATTTTGACGAGCGTGTCAAGCTGGACAGGCTCGTTGGTGGAACAGGCGGCGCAGAACTCTTGGCACGTGACCTGATACGCCGCTGCAGCGAAATATGCCGTAAGATTTGGTTTAGGGTTTAGGGTTTAGGGCCTAGGGCTTAGGCTGCCTATGGCCCCGAAAAAATCATTCAGCAAAGACGAATCGTGGCCCTGGCAGAATCAGGTCTCACGCATTTCGTGCTAAGAAGGACAACGTTAAGAGTAGCGCGCGGATCAAAGGGATCGCTGTTAGCTTAAACCTACACAGCAGCCAAACTAAACTTAAACTACTGCCAAAAAACCATATCTCTAAACCTTAAACCCTAAACCCTAATCCCTAAACCCTAATCCCTAAACCCGAATCCCTAAACCCCAAACCCTAAACCCAATCCCGAAACCCTAA